TCACTTTAGATCACCTGTGTAGCGAAGGGAATTGGGCTAAACCTGAAGAGTACGCCAGGGGTTTACCTCGGTCTGTTCTTGTTAAAATTGGAGAGGCCACCGAGAAAGCTTTCAATTTAATGCCTTATAGTGATTCAGATTTGCCAATTTCGTTTTCCCGGCCAATGCACCAAATAAATGTCGTGGTTTTAAAGCAGTAACTAAAAAATTACTAGAAAACTTACTTATTTCTTGCTGTGAGATATGGATTAGAACAAGAGCAAAACAGGCTTAAAACTTAAAAGGAATAAAGAAAGTTTATTAACAAAATTAAAAGAATAAGAACACCAGAATTAACCTCCAGAAAACCCTTTTATCCCCCACTACCCACCATTCCCTTGTTCACATGACAACATAGAGACAAAAACTTTGGAACTTTGGTGTTTAAATAGTCCCAATTCTTGCTAGAGTCTTTTCATCAGTCTTTATAGAGAAACAGAAGTCTTCTTCTGCTAATCTATGGAGTTTCTCATGAGAAAACTATTTCTGTTATAGTTTTCTATTTCTCTGATGCTAGCTGCCCAGAAATCTGCCATCAGTTCGTTCCTCCCATTTCACATCACTTTGAGGTGTGTATGGGCCATGAGTCTAGGGATATCATTTTTAAGGATGAGTTATTCAAAGGCAAAAGTCCTCTTCATCTGTCTCTGTGAGCTTCGCTGGAAAACAGTTTTCTCATTGCCCCCAAGGCCTCACATCTTCGCTTCACTCTGTTCCAGCACCTCACTGTATCACAATTACTCTACTTTTTGCTCAAAATCTACACTTTGAACACTCCATTCCTCCCAATATACTCTGTCATGAATTAAAGGAGTTTTTTTCAGAACACTATTGTCCATCTCCATAGCTTTAACAGAAAAATATTTCAGCTTATAAAGCATCTCCTTATTCTCTCTTCCTCATCTAAAACTTAACTCTTTTCCTCACTGTCTTTGATGGTTTTATGATGTCTTTTTCATGCTGATTGTCTTTCTCTCTGTCTCTCTGGGAAAAAGGAGTAATCTGCATGTTTTATCCAGGTAGTAAAAGAATTAAAGTCTTGGAAAAACTGCAGATGTTCATGGTGTCAAGTTTCAGTCCAGCAGCAGAAACTACAAACTAAACCAGGCTGGCCAGCTCTGCTTCTGCCCTTCCCCCCCACCCCCCGCCCTCTGCAGCCTTGTCCGGCCTGGAGGTGGGGGGAGGAGGCCAAGACCTTGTTACCTTGTCAGAAGCCGGAAACACAAAGAGCACAAGAGAGCTCCGGCTTTACATCTTAAGGCAGTGTTCACAAGTTGATCTCACTTTTCAATGGTCAAAACTGCTGTCAATTCTTAGAAATGACTGATAATTGGTCAGGAGAAAAAACTCCATCAGCCACCAGCAGCTTCAACTTCCTTAGCTCCCAAAGCTATCTTAAAGGTAAAGTCACCCCATGACATGCCTGAGGAAGAACCCCAAGCCAGTTTCCTGTCAATAAAACAATTCCCTAATGAACCTTTTGTTAAGTTTGTTGATACGCTGCAGGCACAGGTGGAGAGACAGATCGAGAAGGCTGACCTACAGGAGAACATTCTGTTGGAAGTGGCAAAAAGTAACGCCAATGAAGTGTGCCGCTGAATCATCCTCAGTCTGCCTCTCCACCCGCCTCCCACCTTAGAAATGATAATAGAAGCATGTGCAAAGAAGGCTCCGATGGTGGGACTCAGCTAGACAGCACCAGCACCAGCGCCAAGGAAGACGCCATCTGCGGCTGTGATGCAGTGTACACCACTAAGCCAGCTGCAGTGTTTTTGCTGTGGACAATTAGGACATTTGGCAAGGGAGTGTCCAGCTCCCAGCCCTTGCCATGGGAACACAGGAAACAGCATGGGAGGAAGGGTTCCCCCACCCAATGACATCACGGGGAATAAAGATCTAATAAATGCAAAAAAAACCTAGGAGTACAGCGCGAACCTGTCCTGCGCGAAGCAACAAATGGGACAGGTCTCGCGGGGGGGGTTGGGGGCACAAAATAACAGGATTTGGCCTATCAACCGGACGCGACATTTAACTAATATCAAAGACATGTTCTTCTGGTCCCAGCACTGGAAGGTAGTTGCTATGGACCCACTGGACGGGACTTTGATGCATTCCGGACAAGCCTGTAAGTACATTGCCATGGGGACACTAACCACACACCCCCAGAGATTGAGATTTCTCCAATCACCTTTCCGGGGGGTCCGGAGAACCTCATTCTCTTGGCACACTGCAGTCACCCACCTTTCTTTTTGGCAAAGGGCCAAATCATTGCCCAAATCATACCTATCCCAGAAGAAATCCCAGTAGATGATCGTGCACCAGGCGTCTACTGGGTGGAGGTTGTGGGTGAAGACAAACCTATCATCGAGTGCAGCATCAAGCAGGGTGCGGAAACATTAAATATGAAGAGTCTGCTTGACACGGGAGCAGATGTGATGATCATCCCCGAAAGGAGGTGGCTGTCACATTGGGAGTTGCAACCTGTGACTGGCAAGATTCAGGGTATAGGGGGCACACAATTGGCACGAGTATCCAAGAGCGTGGTACAAATTGCGGGCCCAGATTGGCAATTGGCGAATTTACGCCCATTTGTTGCTGACTATCAGATTCCCCTGTGGGGGAGAGATCTCATGTCCCAGTGGGGGGTGAAAACAGAGATCCCGAAAACCCCTCGGGATTTTTAGAGGCAGCCACTGTGGAGCACCCTTTCCAGAAATTAGATTGGACAACGGATACAGTGGTCTGGATTGACCAGTGGCCACTAAGAAAAGACAAATTAAAGGTGCTCAACGAACTCGTGGAGGAGCAATTGGCTAAAGGGAAGATAGTTGAGACAACCAGCCCTTGGAATTCCCGGGTCTTTGTAAGCCGGGGAAAGACAAGTGGCGGCTCCTTCACAACCTTCGTGAAATCAACAAAGTCATCCAACCCGGGATGCCTACCCCAACCGTGCTCCCACGAAATTGGAAATTGGCAATTATTGATATTAAAGATTGTTTTTTCCGAATTCCCCTGCACCCTGATGGTGCCCCACGGTTTGCCTTCTCTGTGCCCACCCTTAACCGAGAAGCCCCAATGAGGAGGTTCCACTGGCGAGTGTTGCCGCAGGGCATGAAAAACTCACCCACCATTTGCCAGTGGTATGTCTCCTCATTGCTGTCTCCCATCCGCGCCAAAGTGGGGGAGGCCATCATCCACCATTACATGGATGATGTCCTAGTGTGTGCCCCCCATGACAACCTACTGAGACGTGCGCTTGACCTAGTGGTTGAAGTTCTAACCTCTGCAGGATTTCAACTCCAGGAAGAGAAGGTTCAAAGGATGCCACCCTGGAAGTATCTGGGCCTACAGATCGCTAAGAGGACCATTGTTCCTCAAAAATTAGCTATTAACAGCGATCCAAAAAATCTGGCGGATCTCCACTCCCTCTGTGGGACTTTGAACTGGGTCAGGCCTTGGCTAGGCCTCACTACTGAAGACCTAGCCCCCCTCTTAATGTTATTGAACGGGGAGAAGGAGCTGAGTTCTCCCAGGTCTCTGACTCCAGAGGCATGGAAAGCCCTGGAAAAGGATGCACTAGTAGAGAGGCAGGCACATAGGTACGAGCCAAACCTGCCATTTGAATTTATTGTTTTGGGAAATCTGCCACATCTGTTTGGGCTTATTTATCAATGGGACCAGGACTCAAGGGACCCACTCTTGATCATAGAATGGGTTTTCCTAAGTCATCAGAGGTCTAAAAGTATCACGAGGCCACAGGAGTTGATGGCTCAGCTTATCAGGAAAGCTAGGGCAAGGCTTCGGGAGATGTCCGGGTGTGATTTTACATGCATACAGGTACCGGTCAGTCTGTCTCGGGACAGAGCGTCCCCAGATAAACTGACCAAGGAAATGTTCAACCAATTGCTGCAGGAAAATGAGACACTCCAAATTTCTTCGGATAGCTACAGTGGACAGGTTTCAGTCCATGCCCCTGCTCACAAATTGTTCAACTCAGAGTTCAATGTGATTCCTAAAGAGATCAGGAGCAGAAAACCTCTCAAGGCAGTGACAGTTTTCACTGACGCATCCGGAGCATCCCACAAATCAGTGATGACTTGGATGGATCCTCAGACTCAGCAGTGGGAAACGGATGTTAAGTATGTGGAGGGATCTCCACAAGTTGCTGAGTTGGCTGCTGTTGTCAGGGCATTTGAGAGGTTTCCCGAACCATTTAATTTAGTGACTGATTCGGCCTATGTAGCAGAGGTAGTAGCAAGAGCAGAAAATGCAGCATTGAAGGAAGTCTCAAATCCTCAGCTTTTTGAGCTGCTTTCAAAACTGATATATGCCATTTCTCACCGAAAGCAGCCTTTCTTTGTCATGCATGTAGGATCACACACAGAGCTCCCTGGCCCAGTGGCCGAGGGGAATGAAAGAGCAGATTCCCTTGCTGCCCCTGTTGAAATGGCCCAACTTCCTGATGTATTCCAGCAGGTTAAACTGAGTCATCAAATGTTCCATCAGAATGTTCCTGGTTTGGTCCGTCAGTTCCATCTAAGGTGAGATCAGGCCAGAGCCATTGTGGCCACATGCCCACAATGCCAGTCATCAGCAATGCCATCCGTAGGCTTGGGAGTCAACCCCAGGGGTTTGGGTAGCTGCGATGTGTGGCAAATGGATGTCACCCACATCCCAGAATTTGGTAGAGTTAAATATGTGCACCTCTCTATTGATACCTTTTCTGGTGCAGTCTATGCCTCTGCCCATGTGGGAGAGAAAGCTGAGCATGTCTGCAAACATCTCATGCAGGCTTTCTCAGTGCTGGGGGTTCCCAGGGAAATAAAAACAGATAATGGTCCAGCATACGTCTCCAGGAAGCTGGAGGATTTCCTGCAGGAGTGGGGAGTGGAACATAAAAGAGGCATCCCCCATTTCCCCATCAATCGCTCAGAAAGGTTCTGGCCCATCAAAAGGAGAGCATGAAAGGCTGCACACCTCAAGATCGGCTGTGCAAGGCCTTGTTCACCATCAACTTTCTAAACTGCTCTTCTGACAATCCAAACCCTCCAGTGGTGCGCCACTTTCAGTCTACAAGTTACAGGCTACAAGAACACCCGCCAGAGCTGGTAAGAGATCTAGAGTCCCAAAAGATTTTGGGACCTTTTAAACTGGTGACCTGGGGGCAGGGTTATGCCTGCATTTCCACGCCCCAAGGACTGAGGTGGATCCCACAAAGGTGGGTGAAGCCTTTTGCCCCGAAGCACCCCAGCAGGCCACCAGATGAAGAGAAGCAGGGTAGTGTTGTGTCCCAGGAAGTATATGCAGAACCTCATCCAGGAGGAGGAAGAAGCCCCAAGTTCCCCTTTTGATCCCGACCCTACCATATCTTCCTCCTCTTTCTAAAAAAGAAAGGGGAAGATGTTGTAGTATGTTTATTCAGTTCCGTTAAAATTGCTATTATTTCGTCTGTTTGGTATGTTCCTGGTTCTCCCCCATTTACTGCTTTGGTTGGTTCCATTTGTCTGTTATGTAAACCCCTCCCAGTTTTCCTGAACGTTCCCCGTCAATCACCTTTACCCTGCCCCATCTCCCCATCCATCGTAAATCCCACCTCTCCTTCCAGCTCCTTCCATGTAGATCATCCCTTCCTTGACATGTTATTGGTTATTATGTTATGTTCCCGCCTTCTTTGTATCCCCATTGGTCCCTGACATTGTAACCTCCTCCCCTTACCCCTCCCTCCGTGAGATCCCATTGGACCCTGGACGGTGTCCGCCCCAGAGATAAAACCCAGTGCACAGAGGTGCTCGGGGCTCTCTTTGGTCCTGATTTCTCCCAGCCCAGACCCTTGTACTTATCTCCTCTCCCGAATAAACCTATTCCTGGGAAGTACAGCTGAGTGAGTCTCCTCCATCCTTTTGCCACTACCCATGACGCCTGATTTGGCAGAGCCCGGCAGGATTCGGTGCTCTGAAGGTTCTGCAGTGGGATCGCCTTTCCCCTGCAGTTCCCCACTCCTGGCGACTGCCTGTGCCGGAGTGGCGCCGTAGAACTAGCCCGGAGCTCCAGTGCGGCCAAGAGCAGTGTCACCCCTCTATGCGGAAGCATCACCCATAATTTTATTCCACCTACAGGCACTCTTTGACACTTATTTTAGCATGTAACTTTGTGATCTGCTGTGAAAAAATCATGTTGCTGACTCACCCTGGCAGACAGTAGTAGTTCTCACTAGCTATCAGAGACATAAAATCTAAGGTCTCTAACAAAAATGAGTAGTAGCATGGACAAGATAAGAAAATTGGCCTTAGTTGGATCAAATGGGTTATAAATAGATTTGGATTTGTAACACCCAGAAGAATTGGTGAAAATCTGTTTATGCGTTACAGTAAATAGGTCATAAAGTGATAAAGCAAAAAGTATTTAAAAAAAAATCATTTTACTAATGATAGAGTCCAATACCAACTGTATTGAATGGAATGCCATGATAATAGGCTTTTAGAAGAGAAAGGAAGAAAAATGGAGATATTCATACCTCATAATAGTCCCCTTGGAGAATACTTGACTATTGGAATGCCTTATGGCTGTACAGCAGATCACTTGCTCCAATAAACTTCTAATGGACCTTACCTTACCTTACCTTCTTTATATGCCAGTTTCTTTTCTAGCAAGTATTTTTGATGAAGATCTTTTTGGAGATAATCTGTCAAGATAATTATAAATGTTGTCAAAGCTTTGATAAGAATTTACTGCACTTGGTGTTATTTCAGGCTGAAACTGCAAAATATTCCACTTTAGAATTAGATGCCTTTTTGCTTTCCCTCTTTAATCACCCAATCCACGTAGTTAGGGTAATTGTATTTCAGGTGATTTCATTACCTAAACCTAGCCCTTATGAACAGCATTCCACAAAATTGAATTCCTGTTAATCCAATACAGGAGAGAAGTGGGTTGTCAAGTAATAAAGCAAGTGTCCCTCTCTTCCTCTCTTTACCTACTTGACCAATTTATGTATGTCCCCATCAGATGGAATGGTTTGGCATCGTTGCAAGAGATACAAGGGTTGAATCTTGAAAAAGATGAATAAATTCTGAGAAATGCTCTGACCCCAGTGAGGGCAGTGGTTTTGACAAACCATGGAATCAGGCTTGGTATTTTCCACCTGTCCAATATTTCACTTACAGATCTCTTGGTTCATTACTCATGGTAAATATTTTACAGCTTAGTAGTGGCACATGGGGCCCAAAATAAAGAGTACAGATCTCCACCTGAGAAATGCAGTGATAAATCACTTCCTGTCCATCAGAGGCAAAATCAGGGCACCCATTTGGCATAGAAAAGGCTTGAAGCAAATGTGCCAACATCACTTGAGCATTATTAGATTTGTCTACAAACTTCTACTTATTATGGCTAAAGCAGAGGATCAGATCACTCCTGATTCAACTGAACCATGGGAAAATTCAAATTGATAATGTAATTTCTTTTAAAAAAAAAAAGAAACAAAAAAGTTAATTTTTCTTGGGAATGACAGTGCATCAGCTTTTTCCTATATTTTTGATAGATAATTTAATTAGTGCTTGGGTGAAATAGCAGTATCCTTTTGCAGAAGGAAAAATATGACTTAAACTTTTTTGTTAGTGTACTGCCTCTTTTTTAATTTAAAGGCTCAGAAATATCTTTCGCATTAGGCTATATATAGCAGTACTAGGTATAAAATAACATAATTTACCCTAATTATAAATAATGATAAATAATAATAAACCCTTCTTACAATTCCAGAAATAAGTTTTACTCTTAGCAATCTTCAGTGAGCCTACAGTTTTAACTGATGCCACAGAAATTCCATATACATGTGCAAAAACATGATCTAAAACTTTGATCTGGAAAATATGTTGAAGAGTTAATTTTGTCTAATTTTATAGGTCTTAGTACAATTTTTTTGTTAGACTGAACAGAAGGTTTTGCTTTGTCTATTATCTTCTACTGTATTCAAGCAGAACTAGTACAAAAATACAGAATTCTGAAAGTGAGTAAAGTCTGAATTGTAGCCCAGAGGTTTCAAGTCAGTATAACCTGTGGAGCTTTCAAATAATGGTTGAGAAATAAATAGATTATTTCTGTGAATCTAAAAATATTTTTAAACAGCATCTACTGAAAAACGCTTTAAAAAAGGGTATGCTTTTCACTTGCTCCATGATTTCAACTATTTTTAATCAACACTGTAATTTGAACACTTTTGTCTGAGATCTTTCATCTATCATCAATATCTTGATATCATTCATATTCATCGTCTGTCTGATTCATAAAAGGCATATGTAGTCTACTTGGTAGCAAAAAATTTTGAAATGAAAAATAATTGAAAAAATGCAATCACACCAAGTACAACATTGTTGGTATTTATTTATATATTTACTTTGTTATATGAAATTTAATAAAACGTATGTTTACAAGCTCTGTTGGAAATTAATTAAGGATAGCTACTCTAATAGGTACTCAAGTCTTTGCCACTATAGTATTTGAAGAAAAACTTTTAGGAATGCAAATTTTACTTATTAGAGGATGAAGATTTGGATTGTATCTGTTTAGAATTTGACACCTATTTCCACCTTATTTTCAGTACCTCTTCAAACATATGACCTTCCTGCTCATAACTTTAATTTTGTGTGGAGCTCAGAAATGTAGAAGAACTGGAAATATAGGGTAACAAAAATCTATTTTATACAGATAACATGGCTGAAGGATCTGTTAAATCTCACTCTAATTGACAGCTATTGATGGTTCTTTGTAATTTTTGCACGAATATCGGGTTTAATTTAAATGCAGCTTGTAACTGGTAGAAGTCAATCACTTAAGCACACCTCCTGCTGAGGTTGTATTACTTTTTCATCACTTAGTGTACAAGCATTAATCGACTTGAGTTCTTTGTGTGAGTTAAATGTCCTCTTTGTTGGTGTAGTTGAGATAGCTGTTTTGGATAAACTACTAAAGGAATCTGTTGCCCTGAAAACTCAGCTTCTGAGCTTGCTGACATAGTTTTCTAAAGACTTTCCTAGGACAGTAACTGTAAACATAGATATGTATACATTCTTTCTGATACACGTCTTGTGATGGACATCTCTCGCGGCCAGTGCGGTTGGGAAAGTGTTATCCTGACCATCCAATCCCTGGCTGTGGTCAGAGACCTATAAATTCTGGGAGAAGAAATAAAGCTCTCTCTTCTTTTTACCACACCTCGAGCTGTGTTTGTGTGACATATTCATCTTCAGCAGCAACAGGAATCTGTTTCCCATCCCAATCTTGATTAAGTACTAGGGAAACCTCTAGTACTACTTTCCTGATTGCTGTTTTTCTCCTGCAGGAAGGAGGTGTTGTTGCTCTCTTTAAGATCTGCCACCAGGATTGTTTCAGATGCCTTTATCCCCAGACCCTGAGAACACTGGCTTCAATTTGTTGTGTAGAGGAAGGGATGCACGAGCTGGAAAAGGGAGGCACTTCAGGATTCCTTACCGACCATGTCACAAAATAGAGAAGCCCTGTCATTAATGTCTTCCAGAAATTCATGATTTGGTGGTGTTTGATACTGTGTTCCATACTATGCTCACCTTTTCTATGCTGAACACATCTTCAGCCTTCAAAAAATTAGTCCCAGCAATATCATTATTGTATCATCCTTGCACAAATAAGCTTTGTAAGTGGGGATAATTTTGTAAAATGTGTTAGTGACTCCATCAGAAAAGGAGAACAAACTAGAGACAATATATTTTCTGGACTCTCTAAAGTGTTTAGAAACTCCACTGTTTCAAATTTTGTCCTTAAAAGACAGAAGGCTTTATACTTCTTTAAATAATTTCCTCATGGTCTGATAGGGCTCCTTCTTGTGGCAGTGCTGCAGCTTGTGAGAGTTGTAGTTGCACAGAAAAAAGTGGGACATATACAGACATTAGTCAATCAAAAAATAATATGTCTGCTAATCAGTAGCAGCTTTCATAACAGCCACTTTTAACTGTGATGGCCAACATCAAAACATTATCCAGATAAAATTATATCAGCTTCTTAGGCTCCTTTCCTTTTGCACATTCACTATGTACTGCTATGTGTTCGGAAAAAAACACTTCTGGTCACTAAATCATGATCTCATCCTTGTATTTCATAAAATGGTCATCTTCCTCACCTGAAGAATGGCCTCTTCAAGTTAATGATAAATTATTTCACTGCCTCTTTACATTGACATGTCTTGTAATTTACTGCCCTGAATTCAAGCAAACTGTGACAGAATGCATGCAGCAAAAATCAAGTCTCTGAGTTTACAATAAATGAAGATGACTTAATTTTTTTTTTACATAATGCCAGTTCAGACTGACATCAGAATCAGTCTAAAAGGACCTTTCATTATGTCCAGTATAATGGTGGAGTTAATAGAGTTAGAAAATGAAAAAGATTGATTCAAATCACCCAGTCCAATTCCCGGCAGTGTCAACATGTGTTTAGTGTGGCCTATATCAAAGCTGAGAGAACAGGAGTACCAGAAAAAGCCAACAATCTCAAGCTCACGTTTGTTTGATTGCTTTAATGTTGGCCACAAGTAAAATTGTTCAGGGTAAACTTGATCACAATCAGGATTGGAGCAGGGCTTAAAGGATTTTTAAATGAAATCTCTGCCTTCAAGGGATTTCAATTCTTAAATCAACATCTTCAAGTATGAATAGTTTTCTTCTTTCACAATTTGGAGTACTCTTCCAAAGAACACAAGAGAGAGTTAAAAGCAATCCTACGATTACAAAAGTTATCATAGGACTTCATATCTGGCAGAAAAGGTGGCTTCTTTTATCCCATGAAGTATCTGTGTACTGCTGAATCATTTTATTTTAAAATTAAAGATATGAGTATCATTATGCCACCTAGTGCATTAAAATATCAGTGCAATTTGAACTGAGTTTTTAATGGCAGAAACTTCATTTAAAAAAACCCAAACTTGGCTACCAAGCAATTCAGATTAGGCAAATCAAGATTTAAAAAAAAAGAAAAAAATCTATGACTACCCGCCCCCCCCACCCCCAATTTTTCAATTAGATTGCACAGCTGTTGCAGTGTTTAAAAGACCCCTTATAAGAGAGCAGCAAGAGCTATAATTTCTTATGAAACACTTATCTGAGAGGTGAACTAAAAGGGGGCGGTACACTTTCTGCAGTAATTGCAGTGCTTAATTACTAAAGATACCAGGAATATTGTTCATTTAACCAATGCTCTTTGATCTTGCCAATTCAGTGCTCAATTCTAAAGAGGTAGAAGATTGTCTATTTTAATAAAAAGCGTTTCATTCAATTTTTAAAAAAGAACAATTCTTGTTCTTCCCGCCGACACATATATATCACAGTGGAAAAAAACATTATTACCTTTTTTATCAGTTTGGTAAACAAGCTGATCTTTGCTATAATTGCAGTGATAAGGTAGTTGTTGCAATGATTAGCTCTTTCTCTTTTATGTGAATCTAGTTGGGTCTGTATACAATGATGTAAAATGAGTTGGTTAAAATGTGAATTTGGAACAATTATTTCACTTGCAAGTACTGGTATTCTTTGTTGTACATTGAAGTGCAGAGCTGCAGGAACTCAAGAGTGACAAATTAGGTAATTAAAGTAGAAAAATGGTGAAAAAATAGTCTCGTTGTGTGCCTGAGGACTGCATAAGTAGATGTTCTCTGTAAACTGTGCTCAGCAAGTGGCAATTTTGGTTCTTCAAGCTGCTTGTGCGTGTCTGGTTGTTTGATACACTTTAATTTTGTAATCCACTGTGACACCAGCAGTTTTGAGATCATTATTTGGTCTGAGCTTCCTGACCAGTCCTACTTCAGAGTGGAGTGGTGAGACCCTGGAAAAGCAACCAGAACATATTATTCCTATAGATGTTTGTCCCTGTATCTGAGAGAATTTTGTCATCTGTGTCTTGTGGCACTCAAGCATTTTTAGGGGGAAGCTCACTGCACCAGAAAAGTTGGTTACTTTTGTTCTGGGCATTCCAGAGTTTATACAGATATGGTAAGTAATACAGATATTTGTGAATAGAGAAAATAGATAAAATCCCTAAAGTCTGAATTGAAAAGAGTTTGTGAGAGCTGAGCATGACTGAAACCGGAGAGCAATGTTAGTGCTGTACATGCAGACAGACCTGGTGGTGTGTCCTGTTCCGAGGTTTAGGACAGAAATACAGTGGGGTAGTGGGAGATTAGTTCTTGAGATTTTTTTGAGGGTTCTGGAGAGAAGAATATCTCAACCTTCATGGATGTTTTTTGCAAACTTAATTCACCTCAAAGTAGCAAGAAGTGTTGGAGGCACAGAATTTGGATAGATTGTGTGTATTTAGTGACACTTAAGGTTCAGAAAAAGTAAAAATTGTGATCTTGGTGATGTACATTCTGCAAATTGCATTAGGAATAGCTGTACTTCAAATAATGCTTTCATTATGAAGACACACACAAAATATAACATATACAGTCTTCAACATGGAGCAACCTTGCCTGGAAATGGGGTTTGTGTTTGAATAGATTTTATTTTTCTCTAAAGCAATTCTTCAGGCCTTACTCCTCTGAGCGTATGTTAGGTCCTTGTTTTGCAGAGTTGTCTGAACAAAGTGTCTCATACATTTGGTGACATGCAGCCTCAATAAAATCTAAAAACTGTGGCAGTTTCTCTGCCTCAGGGCTGTCTGTACAAAAGTTGGTGGTGGTGGTGGTACTAAAAGGCATGGCTTTCCAATTTTTGCCCTACTGAAGCTCAGTTATGTGGTTTTCCACTGAGGCTTCTGTGGCAATAAACATCCTGCTACAATAAAAGAACTTCAGAGCTGGTTCAGAAGCAAATAGAAAACAGTGCCATGTACTGCATTTTTTTACTGTACATGTTATCACATTAAAAAATGCAGCTTAAGTGGGACCTAGATCAAGGGTCAACTGCCACAAAACCAGGATAACACTACAAACAGCCAGCTGCCTAAATGTTAACAGTGTGCTGAGTATGGTTACTTACATTGTTTAAATTACTCCAGAAAGCAAGACACCTGGAATAGAGGAGATAATCCAGAGACACTAGTGACAACAGCTATTACTTTCATTAGTAAAACTTTTTTAACAAATGACACAGCTTTTATCACCGTGCTTTAAAGAAAATTGCCCAGGAATAGATTACAAATTACTTTAAATCTTTAATTTAAAGCACACTAAATCAAATTACCTCCAGAAGAAGAGGGGTAAAGATAGTATGAAGTGTAGATTATTTGTGGCTGGGAAACTATATGAATTTTTCAAAGACTTCTAAAACATGAGTGACCTAAAAATCTATTACTCATTGTGAACACAGTCTGAGTTTTGAAAAGCCATATTCTTATACATAGTAATAATGTCTGCATTATGGTAATGCATTCTGTCCATGATACAGCTGAAAAAACAACCTTTTCTGGGGAATGAAGTAAAATGTATGTTACAGAACCTCCTACTACAATTTATTTATAGTTTTTGAGGTGAATGTGTGTGGATTACTTAATTCAGTTCTAACCACTCTGAACTTTCAGTTTCAAACATTAACCTCAGTTAAAATCATGGAGTAACTTTGTCTCAGGTGAAGTCTCAGCTACTGAAACCACTGAAGTCCATGTGACCGCATGGTGAGACAGAAATGGGAACTCTGTATTAGGAAGAAATTTCTCACTGTAAGAGTGGTAGAGCACCAGAACAAGTTTCCAAGAGAAGCTGTGGATGTCCAGTCCCTGTAAGTGTTCAAGGCCAGATTGGATGAGGCATTGAGCAGCCTGGTCTAATTGAAGATGTTCCTGCCTATGGCAGGGAGATTGGAAGTAAATGATTATGGATGCTAACTGTGAAGCAGGGAGCATGGTGCCTGTGGAAATTGCAGGCCACATAGCTTTCTCAGTCTTGCCTGGGAAAGTGGCCTGGGAATTCATAAGGAGGAATTAAAACAATCCTCAGAGATAGAAAACAGCCTTGCAGGTCCTGTTTGTTTCTTGTTTCCTTGCAAGAGAAGGTCGAGGGGTGGTGAACCCAAATGACCAATGATGGTGATGTGTTAGTTTACTAACCAATAAGAGTTTTCTTTTCTGTACTTTTCACGTATTGGTCTATAAAAAAGACCTGAGGTAATAAACCAGGGAGAAATTCTCCTGTTCAACTCCACAAGAGAGTCTGTGTCGTTCTTCCCTCTGTGCCCAATAGAGCGACAGATGATCTTTAAGATCCCTTCCAACCCAAACTATTCTATGGTTCATGGACTGGGCTTTGATTATGAGAGCTTGGATGGTATGAAGGTAAAGTCACTAATTCAAGGCTGAGTGTAAATGTTAGTTGGTGGCCCATGGATTTCATTATCGCAGCATGGGAATGCTCCACAATTATGAATGATATAATTTTCATAGTACCTGGTGTACAGTGGAAGTAACTTTGTACAATGCAAGAGATGAAAAATTTTCCTGATTTGAATGA